CTACCAGAGCCCCGCGGGGCCCTTTCAAATCGGCCGGGCAAGAGGGCGCGCGCCCCGCACGCCCGACTTCGCATAAAACACTGAAAAGCACTTCCGGCCACGGCGGTCGCTTTCATCCTGGGAAGGGGGGGATGGGGCGGCGTCGATGTATCTCTCCATGGCAAATATGGCACCTGCCCAGGTCCTCTGGTTCGCAATCTCCGACAGCGGGGCTCTCCGCCAGTGCCCGCCGCCCTTCCTGGCGCCCATAATAAGGCCTACAAGTCGACGTTCCTGATGGTGCGCTATATCACCACCTGCGTTTCTGAGCGTCACCACACAGCCAGGTGGCATTTTCTTGTCAGGGGTCTCTCCCTTGACCTCCTGGGCCTCGACTTGCTGGCTGGGTCCGCCGAGCGCTGCAATTCTCCGCAGCCCCAGGTATGCCAAGTTCTTCTTCTCTGGCGGAAGCCGTCCAATATCATATCCCAGCAAGACTGTATTCTCGCGGCGCGCATCGGGCGCCTGCAGGGGCGATGGAGTTCCCCGCAGACATGGTGGACACCGGCGGATGCATGGTAAATGCTGCAGGCGCTGCCCGTCGAAACCCGTGCAGGTATCTGCCCTTTCGCCCCGAGATGCGGGCTTCGCCAGTGGTCGGGCGTGGAAATGCCCGCCCACCAAGCAAGCGCCGGTCAGGAACACCCGCCGCGTCGCTCGGGAAGGTGAGAGCGAGGATCCTCGACGGGAGGTGCATGGTCTGTGGACCGTCACCAAACTTGCCGAATGCATGTTCCTCTGCTTCATCGGCGCCTGCGGCGCTGGTTTATGTGCGATGAAAAGGCCCACCGGCCCCAGCGCCCATGATCCCGATCTTGCTTGGAGATGGTCAGAGGCACATCGCCGCCACTCGCTCCGGATGGCAGTACTTCCCGAGCCGTGCGAGCTGCAACCGAAGTATGACAGAAATACCCACCCACCGAAACACATCCTAGCATCGCTACCAAGCTGCTCAGAAGGGGTCCCCGGGTAGAACATCACCCCCACTCCTGGGCGAAATTCCCCCAGGTCACCTGATATGTGAATCCCCACCTACCGCAACACCGGTTAGCATAGCAACCAAGTTGTTGAGAGATGGTTGAAAGATAAACCAAGCAGGGAAAATGGCCAGCGCCTTCAACGGGAAAACCTCTAGCACTGGCCCCGCTGTGAATGTCCGTGCAACCAGCAGCTGTGCCAAACCAACAGGACCAAACACACCGCCTGACAACGTCTCTACATTGCTCAGGCGTGCCCGAACGCTACTAAACCCGCTTCGCTACCAAACGCACCTCCAAACTATGCCGCTACTGGCCTCGTAGTCGGCCCAGCCGTCGGTGCTTAAACGCTTAAACTCCCGCTCAGGGCTAGGAAGTTGAAGCCTTTCGCGTGCGAGCGCTCTCCCACCTGGTTTGGTTTCCTTGAACATCGGCTTCTTGCCTGCTGCCAGGATCCCATCCATGATCAGTTTTTCTATTGCATCCGATGCACCCAGCCCGCTGCGTAATTCGACAAGGTCTGATTCATGAACCCCCATGGCTCCAACAGGGACATCGTGGCGACACGATTGTACTCCAACTAGTGGCGGAATTGGCGTTCGAAAGGCTTCGGGAAGCGCAGGGCACTTGGCTTCAAGCGTGGACTTGACTTCCGAGCGCTGCACTGAAACCAAAAAAACATATTTCTGCCAGCAACGCGATGAAAGCAGAGGAGGACAGGCGGCTGCGAGGCAGCCAAGCGAGCTACTGACTCCTTAATGCTCTCCTTCACTAGAGTGAGGCAGCCGGCTCATCCTTTGAATGCGAAGGCTCTGTTTTCTGATGCACCCCCTGAGCACGATCGGCCTGCGATTTTTCGGCACGCCTCACGCGTTGAGCCTCGTCTTGCTCGGCCTCGGAAAAAAAGCTTGCTGGGGTGAATGGCTGCCTGATGAAGGATCCCCAAACACTGGACCTTGAGGCCACGAAATCAGATGCGCCCGGGCGCACCCTCGAAAACTGCCGCACAGCGGCGGAAACCTCCAAGCTCGAGCCCCCGCGACTAGAGACTCAAGCTTGAGCCAACATGGCTACGGTCTGCCTCTCTCCTCCTCCTCCTCCTCCTCCTCCTCCTCCTCCTCCTCCTCCTCCTCCTCCTCCTCCTCCTCCTCCTCCTCCTCCTCCATCCTCCATCGCCCTCCTCAGTCCCCTCCTGCCCCCCAACTCCATTTCGAGGAAGATCGAAGATCGAAGTGCTGCGGTTATGCTTCTGACGCTGGTGAAGACCTCCAGAGGCCTTCGAGGAACACTGGAGACCGCCAACGACATCCCCATCATCCCCCGCATACGCAGCCGTAACGACTCCTCACCTTGTGCGTGCTGCCTCTTTCCTCCATCCCCCTCCTTCCTCCTTCCTAGCCTCACTTTCCTCGACACTCATTATCCCGCCTCCTCGTCAACTCAACTACTCTCGGGCCTCGTCAGGCCCCCTGTGCAGATAGACTTGCCAGAAATAACAACTGCCTCAAACGCACCGCAAGACCAGAAGTCCATAGAGGCCTTTGGAGGCGTCGGGTGGTCCAACTACTTCGATCAGCGCGGGGGGTGCTAAGGGGATAGAGGAGTTATCAATGGACATCCAGGTGGGTTTTCTTCGGCCTAAGCTAGCTTGTAAGGGTGCTACTAATACCGTAAGCGGCTTGGGGCGGAGTTACCGAATCCAATCGGCTCCAAAAGAACACTTCGACAGCCCAGCGAAGCCATCAAAACGGCCTCCGAAGGCGTCAGACGGGCCGAGAGTTCCCCAAGACGGCCTGAGCAACCCCAAGAGATCCCCCACAGGCTCCTGGAGGACCCCAAGAGACCCCAAGAGGCCCGCAGAAGACTTCCAGGAGGCCCCACCAAGAAGCCTTTTCCTCCTCGTCCTCATGTTCCCCTTCTCCTTCTCCCCCTCCTCCCTTCCGCGCGGACGAAGACGAGTCGACAATAACCCTCCCCAATTCAGACCAATCGCTGACTTGCCGCTGGCCTGGGAGCAGCATGTCACCGCTTTACACTTTGCGGTCTTGACTTTGGACGCCCGAAATGGGTACGGAAAGAACGAGGACAATGCCCAACAACAAATGTTGTCCCAAACCTTCAGCGGCCGCTGTTGGGCAGGCGGCCTTCTGTCTCAAATGTACACAGGCCGCGGCGACACCGACAGCAAGCCCTGTTCAAAATGAGCAAGAAGTGCTGTTGGGCATTGTACCCATTCTTTCCGTACCCATTTCAAACACTGGCACCCTTGAAAGTTTGCCTCACGCAAGCGGCAATATGATACCAAACAGCATCTTGAACACAACACGGAAACATAAAAAAGTGTCAAGTCGGGCCGGGCCGGGCCCCCTACAGGGATATCTTCGACGAGAAATAACAAATACCCCAACAATAATCAAAAGACAAAAAACAAAAAATTAGTCTGGGCACTATTTTGGGATCATGTTTGTTACCATTTTTGGTGCATTTTCGGGGTATTTTAATTTTTTCGTCGACAATACCCCTGTAGGGGTATTTTTTTTTTTTTTTTTTTACCTATTTGGGGTATGTTGGGGTACTTTCTATTTTTCTTCGAAAATCCCCCTGTAGGGGGACACGCCCGACGTAAGAGAAGCGGCGGGTGGGCCAGGGGCCGATCCCGCACCCGAGGACGCAGCACAAACTGCGCCCACCACAGGGACGGTCGTCGATCTCCAAAGCGGATCAAACAGTGTCCTCCGCGCAACAGCAGGAGCCCTTCCACAAGGAAACCTTCCACGAGAAACCCAACACTAAGATGAAGTCGGGCGTGTCCCCCTACAGGGGGATTTTCGACGAAAAATAAGAAATACCCAAAAAGTAATAAAAAATGCTCCAAACATAGTTGGGGACTATGCTTTTAGTATTGTTTGGCCTTTTTGGGGGATATTCTTAGGGTATGTTTCATTTTTCGTCGAAAATCCCCCTGTAGGGGGACAGGACCGACTTGACACTAAGACCCCAGGACGTCCATCGATGTTTGGCGTGGGAGCGTCACGCCTTCCGCAGCAAGACCACCGAAACCCAGGGCACACTGGAGGCAAGCAGGGTGCTTCTTGGCATGGCCCCCCTCACTGCATCAAGAACATCCGATGGGCAGTTCTTTACTTTCTGGCAAGTTTGCCTGCATGCATGGGTGGTGGGGGGCGTGGCGAGGCCCCAAAGGAAATTTGGCCGCCAGGCCAGTCAAGACCCACTTGCACGCCACTTCGGCCCAACGCTGTTTATCGGCGGTGGGCAAACCTCCCTTTAGTAAACCACCCTTTAGTGAAAACGGCCTAGGACCGAAACCGACGGACCTGGACCCGCAAAAATGACGGCCGCGACGCCCTCTCGCGAACCGAAAACGGCCAATTCGCTAATCGACGTGTCAGGGTATGAAGTCCGTTAACCCTCGAATTGAACTGGCGGCGAAGGGGACAGAGGTCGACGTGCGGCCGATGCCGGACAACCGGAATCCCAAAAAAGTTGGCACCTGCTGGGGCCGCACATTCCAGTTCCTCCGCCTTGCGCCGAGCTTCCGCCGGCGGAGCCGCCCTCGCCTCGCTTCCGCAGCCATCCGCCGCCTGTCTGCCAGCCCTCCGCCGAGGAAGGAGAGGGCAGCCCCGTCGATCCGCGGAGACGAGGCAGCGTCTGGAACACAGATATTGGCGGCCTAGAAATTGGCACTAACACCAACACGGGGGGGTGTCTCCGCAGGGGGAAGATGATCCTAGATTTCGGTGTTGGTGGTAATAGTTCGGCCACCTTGGAAGCCAGAAGATTACCACCATCGCTGAGATCGGGATCTTCTTCCCTCGGTGGAGGCAAACCGCCGAAATTGGTGTTGGTGTCAATCTCTAGGCCTGCGAAGATAGTCTTGCCAGAGTCTGAACAGCAACCACTGTCGAACCAGCGTCGCGCGCACGCCGCGGGCCCACCGCCGCCCAGAGGCGGCGCTCGTCCGCGGGGGCCTCGGGCTCGAGCCGCCCCTGCTGCGGGAGACCACCGAGAAGAAGTCCTCGTCCTCTCGCCGCGGAGGCGGCGAGGCGGCGGCGAAGAAGGCACAAAAACCGGCATAAGGCATGAGCATAAACTTTCCAGAGGTCGGCGCGGATTGCTCTTATCCGCACTGGGGCCTCTGGCGGCGCCTCCAGCGCCACCCCTGGCGCGCTCCGCGCGCCAGGGAGGGAGGTCCACGAAGCCCTGGCAGGCCTGCGAAAGTTAACGGTTTTGCGTGTTTCACTGTGGGTCCGGGGCGAGGAAGAGGCGATGGCTACCAGCCGCATTTCGACGGCACCACGAGGGCACTGCATCGGTGGACGCTCCATGTTCTGTCCCAGAGCCCCGCCTGTGGCGTCGGGCCCTCGCCAAGCGGGGCAGCTGCTGCTCGGCGCTCCACCTTCCTAGCTTCTTCATGACCCCTCTCCTCTTCTCCCTACAGCAAGCTGCGTAAGCGTCAACGTGCGGAGGTCCGCACCCGCGCGGAGTGCCGACACTTGACCGTTGTCTGTTCTTGGAGCACGCCTCTTCTGCCAAAGGGGGGCAACGGAGGTCAGAGGAGCGGCGGTCCTCTCCGTCGCTGTCCTCGTCGACCTGGGCACGTGGCAAGTGGAGGCGGAAGGTGGCGAGGAATAGACTGCGAGCGAGGGCCTTGCGGCCGCTCCCCCGTCGCCGCGTCCTCCCACTCCTCGCCCCCCCCCACCCCCCCCAGACGTTCCCCCCCCCCTCCCCAGACGTTCTCCCCCCTCTCCCTCCATGGCCCTCCTCCTTCTCACAGCTGGCAGCTCCCCCCTGCTCCACCTCCTCCTCCTCCTGCTCCTGCTCCCCCTGCGTCCACGTTTTCCTCGGCCTTGTCCTCCTCCTCCTCCTCCTCCTCCTCCCCCCTGCCTTCACCCCTTCGTGTTTCCTCCTCCTCCTCCTCCTCCTCCTCCTCCTCCTCCTCCTCCTCCCTGCCTCCTTCTCCCGGACTCCTCCTCCTCCTCCTCCTTTTCTGACGTTGCCCGAACTCACGCACATTTGTTCCTGCCTCCTCTTCTTCTACTTCCTTCTTCTTCTTCCTCCTCCTCCTCCGCCTTCTGCTTCTTCTCCTCCTCCTCCTCCTCCTCATCCTCCTCCTCCTCCGTAGCCACTTTGGCTCAAGGCTTCCGGGGGGCGCGCGCTCGCTCATGTCGCTTCGCTGCAGGGCTGCTGTGCTGTCCGGTGTGTGCCGCGGTGCTGGGCGTGTCGGCGCTCTTCCTGGAGGTGGCTGCTGGAGGCCTGCGCGGCGGATGCCGTCTGAGCAAGTGCCAGTGGAGGAATGGCGCGGCGGAGCGCCAGCAACCTCGCTCGGCGCCTGCGCAAGGAGCGGGCCATGTCGCGGGGCTCCGCTGTCGTGGCTCAGGCAGCCCAGCGAACAATAGTTGGCCTCGACCTCGGCCCTGACGCGACGCTGAGGTTACTGCCGAGCTGTCCGTGCGGCTGCAGGCGCTGGGGCACGCGCTGCTGCTGCACGGCATGGCCGATGCTGACCTGGGTCATCATGTGCATCGCCTGGGGGATGCGCTCAGGCAGCTGTCGGCCGAAGGGACGCTGCCCTCTGACGCGGCGGGGTACTGCAAGCTGGTCAAGGCGGCTGGCGACCGTGCTCGACACGAGCCCTTCCAGGTCAGGCTTACTGGAGGACTTGGCATGCAGTGCGACGACGTGATCAAGAGGGAGGGCATGCAGGTGCACTAGGTGGGCTTGGTGCAGCGGCTGCACCCCGTGCCGCCCGCCCAGCCTCGGGCGTACCAGGGGCTTCGCAGGGAGGCGGCGCCTTTCTGGCCTGCGCGCCCGCCTGGCGTGTGGTTCGGCCCCGAGGCGCAGGTCGACGGCCTGCTCGCGGCGCTGGGCTACGCTCCAGAGGAGAGGGGCCTTGAAGGCGGTCTGATTCTCCCAGGACGGGGCCCAGTGGAAGGGCAGGGAGCTGTCTCTTCTTGTTTCTTTCATTTGCGGAGGCCCACGTGGTGGGAGGAGTGGCCTGCAGGGGGGAGTCGGCCCAGGTGGTGGGGGGATGGACGGGCGCCTGCTCCGCAGACCAGTGTCACGCTGGCGGCCCAGGTGGTGGGAGGAGTGGGTAGCGACCTTGTGCCCAGGTGGATGGTGGAGTGGCCGAGGTTCGCGATGCGGCGAAGCCGCCCTCGTCCTGCGCTTCGCGCGAGGAAGTGTGGGACGGACCGAACGAGGCGGCTGCGGATGCTGGACTCGGCCTGGTTGGCAGGGAGGCTCGCGCCCCCTCCTTGCAGCCCGCCGTTCCCCTCCCAGTCCCCGTCGGTGGAAAGGGCGATGCTTGCGCTGCGGGGCACGCCATGGTCGGCCGGGATGGCGACAGGGCCTTGGTGTTGCCTGAGGTGGGACTCGAGGCGCCTATCGTGACGAGGCGTCAACAGCCGCTCGAGGAGACAAGGAGCAGAGCAGCCCATGCTGGAGGCCAAGTTGGACCCGTTCCGCTCTCGGCGGTGGCAGAAGATGGTGGAGCTCATCAATCGCCGTGCTCTATCCCTTTTTTCGCGCTGCCAGCCGCGGGAGGCCAGGACAGAGCACTACCCTGGGATGTTTCACGTCCACAAGCCTCTATGCTGCTGCAAGCGGTGCTACGTTTCCTATGAAGCGCCTGACGGCCA